TTCACTGTCTGTCAACTGGGCACAACATGGTTCAGATCACTGCTACGAAACCTAAGGGGAAAACGACAGACAGTTCCGCAACAGGGGTGGTAAAAGAGGAGCCGCTAGAGACCAAAGAATCAGCCTCAGTCCCTACCACAAGTATCGGCAGCACGAAAACAAAAGTAGGCGGTAAGATGCGTCGGGGTCGCAAACACCGACTGATCCGGAAGAACCAGACGGGTTGCGAGGCGTGTGGCGTCGAGTGCGGCTCTGTATCCAGCCTCTATGTTCACCTCCGTGCCAACCACCCAGCCATGTTCCCTCACCAGTGTAGCGTCTGTGGCCGACGCTTTAGTCTGGAGGCGAGCGCCAGGGAGCACGAGCGACGCCATGCAGTGGGCGAGCTGCAGTGCCCCGCGTGCCCGCTCAGGTTTTCCCGCATGTCTCACCTACATCACCATGCCCGGGAACATCACCCGGAGTTCACAGATTTCCCATGTCAGTACTGCGGGGCCGTCACACCCACGGTGGACGCCCTCCACACCCACATCAAGGTGCACCATGGAGACCGTCTGGGTCTGCCCGCCACCTTTGCATGTGAAGTGTGCCAAGAGACCTTCCACACTGGCAAAGCTCTGGCCTGCCACCGTACCAGTCGCCATCCTGGAACTGCGGTCTGTGGCTATTGTGGGGCGCAGGTTGGAAGCCGCTACCTAAACAAACATATCAACGCAGTTCACACCAAAGAAAAAACTCACCGGTGTGACAAGTGTGGCAAAGACTTCTACTCTCGTACCAGTCTGACGGGGCACCAGAAACGTCAGCACACGCCCAGGAAGCACCTGTGTGACCTCTGCGGTAAAGGTTACGTTCATAATGTAGAGTTGCAGAGACATCTTAAGGCTCATCGTAACCAGCGCGACTTTAAGTGCGATTTTTGTGGCCGGTCGTTTTTGAAGGCGGTAGACTTAACATACCACAGGCGGTCTCACACAGGGGAGAGACCCCACCAGTGTGTATTGTGCACAGAGTCCTTCATTCGCCCCCTTGGCCTCCGCAAACATATGCTCAAGCACACAGCAGTCAAGAAAGGGAAACGACTTAAATATTCAAAGAGAAAGATTGAGGAGTTAACATCATCAGTGATGAGTGACGAGGAAAGAGTGGAGAGTGGGCCGAATGAATCGAGTGAGGGACAGCAAGAAGCGAGCACTGACAAAGAAGGAGCTGTCTTTATCACTGACACTGACCTCCCGCCCACCCCAGAGCTTACCCATCCTCTCCAGGTCTTCCCAGCATCCACATTAGTGCCATCCACATTACCACAACCTCGGCAGCACCTCCAGCCGGAGGTGCAGCAGTTGGCGTCCTCTGATTTACAAGAGCAGCAACTACCTGTTTCCGCTTTGGATAGTAGCCAACTGGAAGGTCAGTTGGAGCTGACACAAGTGGTTGAAGATCTGAGCAGCGGAGAGCTCTTGGAGATGGGTCCTAGTCTGCTGCTGGACGCCAGTGACGTGGACGGTGCTCACGTAGAAGGAGTGGCCAGCGGCGATGGAGCAGGCGTAGGCGAAGCCAATCAAGCCTCGCAGCAGCCTGTTCAGGTCATTTATGTACAATTTGTTGAGGAGACGGCTGACTGGAGATCAGACCCACCACTCTGAGTTCATTACACATGAACCCTCATTGCTAAGGTCATCAGATTGTATGCTGGATGCCGGGAATGACCCTGACATGTAATTGGTAGTTTGCTATATGATGTAAACACCGCCTTGTCTCTAACATCATGGACCTTGGGTGCCTGACAGCTGGGTGGACAGTGCTTCGGATTCGTAGTCCTGAAGTTCCGGGTTCGATCCCCGGTGGAGGCGGAGACAAATGGGCAAAATGTTTCTTTTGCCATGATGCCCCTGTTCACCTAGCAGTAAATAGGTACCTGGGAGTTAGACAGCTGCTACGGGCTGCTTCCTGGGGATGTGTAACAAAAAGGAGGCCTAGTCGAGGACCGGGCCGCGGGGACGCTAAGCCCCGAAATCATCTCAAGATCTGAAGATAAGCTAACGCATCATGGAACAGGATAGTAAATGTATTGTTTTCATGTAACGCAAAGATGATTTTTTTTAATTGTATTTTTTGCTAAGAGAATTGCCTAATATGTATATATATGTACACACAACGCAGTGCAGGTAATCTTGAGGTTATCTTGAGATGATTTCGAGGCTTTTTTTTTTAGTGTCCCCGCGGCCCGGTCCTCGGCCAGGCCTCCACCCCTAGGAAGCAGCCCGTGACAGCTGACTAACACCCAGGTACCTATTTTACTGCTAGGTAACAGGGGCGTAGGGTGAAAGAAACTCTGCCCATTGTTTCTCGCCGGCGCTTGGGATCGAACCCAGGACCACAGGATCACAAGTCCAGCGTGCTGTCCACTCAGCCGACCGGCACCCCAGAAGAATCTCCAACTCACAGCTCCCCAGTGCAGAATTAAATTTCAACATGATATTGAAATACATCGAGATAGAATTGTATCAGTGAGCCTATATTCGTGAAGGTACTATTTTGTCGTATTAAAAGCATGTCATTCATTATGCAATTTCCTATTGGCTCCCTCATGGTAAATCCCCATACCATTAAAGGGCAGTATGGGGGGTATTAACCATACACACGTACGGAACACTACAGTAATACATACTTGATACATTAATGAGATGCCAGAGTTCCACTACTGTGTTAACTTTGCTCTTTATAACAAATCACCGTTGAAATACAAGTAGCAGAAAGGTTCACAGTAAATAAAGTTGCACTTCAAATTAAAAACAAAATTTAATTTGTAAAATTGTGATATACTACATTATAGTACTTAATGTTTTCCAATCGTTATTGATAGTTCCATTGTTGAACGCACTATATTTGCGATAAATTTGCTATATTCGTTTTGCAGTATCTTGAATTTGGTGTATTTGTCGAGTGTTTTGATAAAGCATCTCTCAGGTATGAGGACATGTGTCCATAAATGCAATTTCAAAATCAACCCGTCTGTTGATCAGACCACACACTAGAAGGTGAAGGGACGACGACGTTTCAACCCGTCCTGGACATAATCGACTTGAGAATGGTCCAGGACGGACCGAAACGTCGTCGTCCCTTCACCTTCTAGTGTGTGGTCTGGTCAACATGCAGCATCTTGCTAAGTGTCAATGAATCTAACTGTTAAATGTTGAGTTGCGTTCAGTTGTGAACCAGTTATAGTCTGTTGAACCATTGAGTTTTGCTGCTGAACTCGTTACTGGTAATTCTTGCTTGACACGTAAAGCAAACCCCCCATTTGTTTTTAATGTAATTTGTGTAAATAAATTTGTTTTTTTAGGAAACATCTGTTTTGAAATATTTATTATCCTTCCTAAGACCATTGATGATCTTTTACTGTATATAACACTGACTTTTTCATGTAAATTTGATGCCGATCCCACTGTTAACGGATATCACCAGAGACGAGACTCTAGTGATATTGATCAATACAGAACATTGATACAGGAACTCACACGAGATTACTTTGTAAACTTGAGTCCAGCCACTTTGACTGGACGGTAGAGCGACGGTCTCGCTTCATGCAGGTCGGCGTTCAATCCCAGACCGTCCAAGTGGGTGGGCACCATTCCTTCCCTCTCCGTCCCATCCCAAATCCTTATCCTGACCATTTCCAAGTGCTATAAAGTCGTAATGACTTGGCGTTTTTTCTTGATAATTAAATTAATTATGCAAACTTTAGAGGCAGGCGGGAGTAAACAAAGGAGCCCTAACATGGGTGATATATAACAGGCAGGAGCCAGAGAGTAACATTACGGGTTATTCATGCCCGTGCCACCTCTTGGGTGGCTTAATCTTTATCAATCAATCAATCGAGAGTAACAGTCAGGGATGAGAAGTCAGACTGGCGAATAATAACAAGTGCAGCGCCTCAAGGATCGGTGCTGGGACCAATTCTATTTATAATACTGTATACGTAAATGACATGTCTAAAGGAGTTGAGTCCTGTATGTCGATGTTTGCTGATGACGTGAAATTAATGACACGAGTTATGATTGATGGGAGAGTGTTGGGCCCTCCAAGAGGACTTGAACAAGTTAAGAGAGATGGCTCGAGAAATGGCTAACGGAGTTCAACACGAGCAAGTGTAAAAGTGATGGAAATGGGAACAGGCGACAGATTACCAAAGGGACAGTAAACAATGATGGGAAACTACCTACCTGTAACGACTCGAGAGTGAGACATGGGAGTGGACGTCACACCAAACCTAACTATATATATATATATATATATATATATATATATATATATATATATATATATATATATATATATATATATATATATATATTTGACAGTGTCAGACCACGGAAGAAGAATTGAAACAGGAATTTCCTTTAGTACTCTCGTATTTAATAATACATCTTCAGAAGGGTGTATTATTCTGAAGATGTATTATTAAATACGAAAGTACTTAAGGAAATTCCTGTTTCAATTCTTCTCCGTGGTCTGACACTGTCACATTTTTCATCACGTGTTAACTTTCGTGATTTACACACACATATAAATATATATATATATATATGCAACAATGATCACAAAAACACTGATCCAAATATACAGAATAACCACATGTGAAAAATAGAGAATGCTTAACGCGTTTTCGGCTAATTCGCCTTCATCAGAGCAAAGTAGAATGAAGATTCGTCTGATGAAGGCGAATTAGCCGAAAACGCGTTAAGCATTCTCTATTTTTCACATGTGGTTATTCTGCAAATATATATATATATATATATATATATATATATATATATATATATATATATATATATATATATATATATATATATATATATATATATATATATATATATATATATATATATATATATATATATATATATATATATATATATATATATATATATATATATATATATATATATAATCATCTAATATTGAATGGTCAATATATTTATGATTTTTCTTTGCAGGATGTGAGCTTGTCATCTGGACTATTGTCTGTGGAAGAGATGCAGATGGCAATGAAGGTTGACGGTGAAGGTGGTGGAGCAGACAACCCTCCCAGCAGCACCGACCCACAACAGATGTCCACTACTACAGACATTCCCGACCTACACAAACTTCACCTGGAACTCAGACTGGAAGATCTGACATGTGCGTGTGGTGTGAAATCTAATTCCAAAGTGGCGCATGTGGAACACGTCTTGACGCATGTCACAGGAGCCTTCAGATGTCCCCAATGTCAGTGCTCCTACACATGCTCCTCCCGCCTGGCATGCCACCAGCGGCTCGTACACTCTACGGACGCTCCAAAGGAAAGGGTTCCAGAGACTGTTAAATCCGCTTCGACATCGAGTGCAGGGGGGGACATTATCTGCAGTAGGTGCGACGAGACTGTGGTCGGAGACATCCTAGAACATATCAAGATTCACTTGGATGGTGACAACGAATGTCCAGTTTGTGCTGTGAGGCTGAAAACCTCCTATGCCATGGAAATTCACGTGGAAAGGAAGCATCCACATCTTTTGCAAGCCTTCCTTAAATCTGAAGATTCTCTGAAGGAGATCCCGGAGGGTGAAGAGAACAGCAGTCAGCCAGTGAGATGCGATGTGTGCAGTAAAGTGGTAGCCACGGCATCAAAACTGGCCCGACACCGCTACCTGCAGCACCCAGAGCACTATCCTTGGGCCTGTCCTGACTGCAACCTCACTTTTCCATCTCACCATACCCGCGAGAACCATACGTGCCCATATAGACGGAAGGGGGGTGCTGTCTTAGCTGTAGGTGGCCAGAAGAATGAATGCTGCATGTGTCGTATAGTATGCAAGTCCAAACTGAGTCTGGAAAGACACATGCGACGTGCACACCCTACTGAGGGCACGGGCCCTCACACGTGCCCCGTGTGTGCCCGCATACTGGTATCCCGCAAGGCTCTCACCGACCACCTGAGATGCCATCGAAGACAGCAGGGCTTCTCGTGTGAGTTCTGCAATGCCCAACTTAAGACGATGGATTCTCTTAATGTGCATGTCAATGAAATCCACACACATGTTGTTCGACTACAATGTAAACACTGTCCTCAGGTGTTTTTCTCTTCTGGAAGACTATCTTACCATATCAAACGGCACCACACTGACCGTCGCTCATATACAAACCTTTGTCACCTTTGCGGAAAAGCGTACCCATACCCTAGTGAGCTAAAGCTGCACCTTCGGTCTCACCGCAACGAACGCCCATACAAATGCAATCAGTGCCAGAAGACTTTTCTGAAGCAAGGTGACTTGACGTACCACAAGCGATCTCATACAGGCGAGCGGCCCCACAAGTGCCCCCACTGCGACGCCAGATTCCCCCGGCCCAACACCCTTATGAGCCACATCCGTCAACAACATCGAGAACGAACAGACGCTGACACATCTGAAATCTTGAATGCCCCCAGAACTATTACATCAGAAACACCAGTAGCAACTTCCCCAGTTCACTCTTATGTGACCAGCGCACCTGCTACAGTGGTGACTGCATCGCCTGCTCCCTACCTGGCTACAGTGAACCCTTCAGCTACTATGCAGCCTCCCCCACCTACTGTGACGGTCATGAGTGTAGCAGGAGCCGTGCCACGGGCTCCCGGGGAGGCCACGCTGGTCCCAATGGTTGATGGCCAGCTGGTTGATGCTGTGGTGGACGGCCAAGTGACGGAGATGCAGCCTGTACAGTATGTACAAGTGGACAGCTTATCTGGGAGCCAAACTGTACAGGCGGTCCCTCACACGGTCGAGGGGATTGAGTACGATGAAGCAGCTACTGTGCCCTATCAAATTGTTCACTTGCAGATTTTACAGTGAATGCAATTTTTATCATCATATATTTTATTTGACGCCACTGCCAGCTCAATTGTCCTGGAAGGACTGTGTTATTCTGTTACCCCATAGGTGTTATACGGCTTATTAAATGAGTATATGTAACATTTGCTGTGAATGGCAGAATGGGTGAAGGTGCTATAGGCCTAGTCCTAATATGTTTTAATCCAATGCTAGGTTGTATGGTTAATCTTGTGTAATGGGGCGATGTGCTTCTTGGCCATGTATTGTAATGAAATATTAGGTCTGTGCTGTTTTATAGAATACTGAGCTCCATGTCTAATGACAAGGAGTGAATTCAGCATAACGTGGAGAGGGAGGATCTGCTGCATGGGTAACAACTTCTCCGTATAGACCTACCTTGGCTTTGCGCCCTGGAGAGGACACTCCAGCCTCGACAACCAGAGCGCAACTCCATAGTCCCCTGAGACTACAGGATGCCTACTACTGTGTGTCTAATGTACACAGTGTTTTTACGCAATGCTAGATGTCTTTGTTAGTCCAATGTTGCCATATAATACAAGGTTAGTCCTATCTTGTCACACTACTTAATTAACTACTTAGTGATTAACATACTACTGCGTGATTAACTACTTAGTTAATCCTGTATTATCATGGAACACTTATTTTCTTGACTAGTCCTGTAATTTTATAGAACACAAGGTTAAGTTTGCAATATCTTTGAATACTAGGATTTATGGCTAATTCTGTGTTATCTCACAACACTAGTTTCCTTCGCTAATCCTGTGTTGTCATGTGATGCTAAAGTCTTGGGATTTTGTGGAATATTATGTTCCTTGGCTAATTATGAATAGTTAAGTTCCTTTTGTGTTAGTTTCGAATATTAGGCTACTTTTTATTTTGAATACTAGGCTAGTCATATTTTCCTGGACTCTGGTTTCTTGTCAGACTAAGTTAGTTCCATGTTGTCAAGATAACCAGGATCCTTGATTATACAGCTGTTTTTATACAATTAATAAAGTGATATACGGTATATTTATACTGATATATTGAGAAATATATTATGACAAAATCTCTGTCATTCATATCCTATCAGTTTACGCAGATTTGCATTAAGGGTGAATTTACTATTATCAGTTAAAGAGTGAATGAAATGGTATTTACAATAGCCCGTCTTCTCAAGTTGCCACAACGGGCAGAAAATGGTGTTCTAAAATACCCAAACTTAATCTAACGGAGCGACCGTTAGGTTAGGCTCAGAAAAATAGTTACAAACACAATTCTTCTCAATGATAATTGTTTGTGTCTAATGAACATTTTTTTAATGGAAGTACACTTTTTGATTCATTGTAAAAATCATTTATCACACCGTCTATCACAAGAAGCAAGAGATGTCTTAACAACTTCAAAACTTGTTGACCGAGCGATTATTGACGATAAGCAGTTTCGTAATTAAACCAGCGAGAATAACTATTGCGAAATGGCCACAAGTCAAGGTTTAGATGCTGTTAGTGTCTGGCCGGCGCTTGAAGGCGCGTCTCGGTGTGATCACGACTTAAACCAACAGTCGGCCACATTCTCCTGCCGTTCGGCGCGACCATTAGCACCAAAAACACGGCAGGAAGGCTGGCCCACACTTGCTGCCCCGGATGTCTCTTATTTACATCTGCTTACGCATTCACTCCATCGCTTATAAATTAGCATAATGAGTTTAATAGTTCCAGGAAGCAGAAAATTGGGGAAAAATAGACAAAATGACCCAGAGGTAAAGCGCAGGACCGGCGCCCAACGTCCCTGCCGGGGGACCATTTTGTACGACTCCCGGAGCGAAGTTATCGCAATGTCATCTACCCGCCGCCAGATCGTTAATTCCGGCCTCCACTGACTAATGCGAGAACCGGGACCACGGCGTTGCCACCCACTGCGGTCTTTGTTACCCGTGTCCACTCTAATCTCCTATTTAACGAGCCTCCTCCCTATATCTACAAATATTTCCTTTCGTTAAAATATTATAGCCACGTATAAGTGGGTTTAAAATGTTTATTGCACTAATCAAGGGCTTTTTAAAGAAGGTATTGATTATTACACACAGAAATCACAATAGCGTGATGCATCAACTGAACAAATCCACAAGGGCCGTGTGAGTCCAATGGAACTCCCGGTTGCAATTCTTTTGACCATGTCGTGGCCTAGTCGATTAAGACAGCGTCTGGGATCCTCTCACACGTAGGTTCGAACCTTCATCACGGCCTTTGTGGATTTGTTCAAGGTATTGACTGTCTTAGTAACTAAGGACTTGTAAGACTGGGGGAAGATGTATTTAAATTCTTTCACCTTCTCTCTATAGCGCGTCGCATTTTGACGTATACTTAATGTACAAAAAAATGTAGTGGCTTGCGAAATTGACATAATGTTCCGTTTTCTGTTCATGGGTCATCTGGTAGGTTAGGTTAGGGCACTGTAATACGCCAGTTTCTTGACGTTGGGGAAGCTCGCGAGAACGAACTGCTATTGTTCTAGATTTTTGCTTCAAAACAACAAAAATGGAGATAGAACTTCTAGCGATGGCATATTTTATTTTTAAAATTTTGCCATGAAGAGTGAGTTTATTGGACAGCGTCACTCACCCTGTGAGTGGACACACCGCCATAGTGACAGTATTGGGCAGCGCCACTCATCCTGTGAGTGGACACACCGCCATAGTGACAGTATTGGACAGCGTCACTCACCCTGTGAGTGGACACACCGCCATAGTGACAGTATTGGGCAGCGCCACTCATCCTGTGAGTGAACACACCGCCATAGTGACAGTATTGGGCAGCGCCACTCATCCTGTGAGTGGACACACCGCCATAGTGACAGTATTGGGCAGCGCCACTCATCCTGTGAGTGAACACACCGCCATAGTGACAGTATTGGGCAGCGCCACTCATCCTGTGAGTGAACACACCGCCATAGTGACAGTATTGGACAGCGTCACTCATCCTGTGAGTGAACACACAGCCATAGTGACAGTATTGGGCAGTGTCACTCATGCTGTGAGTGAACACACCGCCATAGTGACAGTATTGGGCAGTGTCACTCATGCTGTGAGTGAACACACCGCCATAGTGACAGTATTGGGCAGTGTCACTCATGCTGTGAGTGAACACACCGCCATAGCAATATATACTGCACCCCCAATGGGAAGAAAACCCGCTGGGTTATACATCGTGTCACTTGTACCCAGAGGCAGATATAACTCACCTGTCTCAAGTGAACAGACTGTCAATCAAGGAAATTAACATCCTACAACCCTAAAGTTTATGATATCTTGTGGGTGAAAATCAGGGATATCTTTTAAGGGTTCATTACCTACCTATTTCTAATTCTTAAAGTGGATTCAATTTCTCAGGTGGTGGTTCAGACGATATCCTCTCATGCTGAGAGAGAGAGAGAGAGAGAGAGAGAGAGAGAGAGAGAGAGAGAGAGAGAGAGAGAGAGAGAGAGAGAGAGAGAGAGAGAGAGAGAGAGAGAGAGACAGAGAGAGAGAGAGAGAGAGACAGAGAGACAGAGAGACAGAGAGACAGAGAGACAAGAGAGACAGAGAGACAGAGGTCTTACCACAATTATATTTGTATACAAAAATTAGATAATCTTATAAGCAGATACTAAAAAAAACTATTGATCTGTTATCTATTACGTCCATTGTGTTTCTTCTGTTAACACGAAATCAACATTACAGTAACATTCTTCGAACATTCAGACGCTTTTTCCTGAATAATTTGGAAATTTTCCCTTCAAACTTTGCATTACTTCTTTACTTTCTTTGACATCTGCTGTCTCGCGTCTGTCCTCCCACGACCGTCACTGTAGATAGGAATGCAAAGACAGCTTCACCACCGTCATCCCACGACCGTCACTGTAGACAGGAATGCAAAGACAGCTTCACCACCGTCATCCCACGACCGTCACTGTAGACAGGAATGCAAAGACAGCTTCACCACCGTCATCCCACGACCGTCACTGTAGACAGGAATGCAAAGACAGCTTCACCACCGTCATCCCACGACCGTCACTGTAGACAGGAATGCAAAGACAGCTTCACCACCGTCATCCCACGACCGTCACTGTAGACAGGAATGCAAAGACAGCTTCACCACCGTCATCCCACGACCGTCACTGTAGACAGGAATGCAAAGACAGCTTCACCACCGTCATCCCACGACCGTCACTGTAGACAGGAATGCAAAGACAGCTTCACCACCGTCATCCCACGACCGTCACTGTAGACAGGAATGCAAAGACAGCTTCACCACCGTCATCCCACGACCGTCACTGTAGACAGGAATGCAAAGACAGCTTCACCACCGTCATCCCACGACCGTCACTGTAGACAGGAATGCAAAGACAGCTTCACCACCGTCATCCCACGACCGTCACTGTAGACAGGAATGCAAAGACAGCTTCACCACCGTCATCCCACGACCGTCACTGTAGACAGGAATGCAAAGACAGCTTCACCACCGTCATCCCACGACCGTCACTGTAGACAGGAATGCAAAGACAGCTTCACCACCGTCATCCCACGACCGTCACTGTAGACAGGAATGCAAAGACAGCTTCACCACCGTCATCCCACGACCGTCACTGTAGACAGGAATGCAAAGACAGCTTCACCGCCGTCATCCCACGACCGTCACTGTAGACAGGAATGCAAAGACAGCTTCACCACCGTCATCCCACGACCGTCACTGTAGACAGGAATGCAAAGACAGCTTCACCACCGTCATCCCACGACCGTCACTGTAGACAGGAATGCAAAGACAGCTTCACCACCGTCATCCCACGACCGTCACTGTAGACAGGAATGCAAAGACAGCTTCACCACCGTCATCCCACGACCGTCACTGTAGACAGGAATGCAAAGACAGCTTCACCACCGTCATCCCACGACCGTCACTGTAGACAGGAATGCAAAGACAGCTTCACCACCGTCATCCCACGACCGTCACTGGAGACAGGACTGGCAGCTTCACCACTGTGTTCCTGGTTTTATTAAAATTATTTTTTTTCAGCAAAATTTGCAGTACTCAGCCCATTGTATATTTTTGTATATGTAAATATAAACTAATAAAATTACTGTAGTCTGAACTGCATTCTTCATGTTTTAAACGTCATTTTAATACTGTATTTTACTATACATTGTATAATTTTAGTAATTAGGCGTTATATTATTTAAAAACAAAAATTCTTATGAAAATGAGTAATATATACTCAACTTTCTGTAAATTAAATTTATTAAATGTATAAAATCATCTGCGGATAAAGGTTTTGAATGTTAAGCACGTTCCATCTTCTCAATGGGATTTCCCCGGTCCTCATACAAAGATCTTAAAAAAAACCTAAGCACTTCGCAAGTGTGTCTCAGCTCCTTCCCAACGTCTCATTATTATGGTGCGACTTGAGCAGTAGTCTGCATAATATTCCTCAACTCTTGAGGGTAATGAGAACATTGCTTTCAGTTATGACTCCATCTTCCTGTTGAATAGCGATGATGGCAACTTACCCTGATATAAATCTCTCTTTAACGTTCTTGATGAATAGCTCGTTTTCAATTGGGTTCTCTCAAAGTACAGTTGAATGACCTCTTGAAGCCTCTGCCATCTGATTATCTTCCTTTGTCTGATTACAGAACGCGATATCGTATTTTCCTTCTCGATTTGTTGACATTTTTCATTGTCATTTTCTTCATAAAGATGTTGGTATCTTTAAAATCTCGTTGGTTTAAAGGAGCTCATCATGCTAATAGGAGTCATCAGTCGTCTCTTCCTGTACCCACTTGTGTAAAAAAAAAAAATAGTAAAGGAGTTCCTTCGTTGGTTCCTGTGGCGGGTATCGAGCCTAGAACCCCCGGAATAACGTAAAACGAGTCTCTCCGAAAGTCTTCTTGTTCGCTGTAGTTAGTATTCAGCTTTCTTTGTTGTTTTACCTCCTACTAACGTAAGGTTACTTCAGGCACTAAGCTGAGGGTTCACTTCCTTGGGGGATAACTAAGAGTTGTCCAGAGGGTTCACTGCCGCAACAGACAGA